TAATATTTAATTTAAATAAAATCAACCTTCAAATAATGCACAGAATAAAAGAAACCAAGTTCCAACTAAACAGGTAAAACAATTAGCAGAAAAAAGGTCAAGAAAATTTAAAGTATATAAATCAAATCAATGATAGAGAATATAACAAGATTTAATAATTTAATTAATATGCAACAGTGATCTATACAATTTAAAAACATAATCCTTCATATTTAGCTCGTGTACACGACTTTCACCACATTACAATTAATACCAATCCTAGGGAAACTTTCTCCCCCACAAGGTTAGACAAGTCACTTACCTCGACTTGCTCCAATTTAACCAAGTAGTACGCCTTTTCCTTGATTTTCCGATTTCGGTCGACTCGTATCTAGTCATAATTAATTCGATACAATCAACAAAAATTATAGAATCAGTTCTATAAGAAAATACTACATTTTTCAATAAAATCCGAAATTAACTCAAAATTGGCCTGTGGGGCCCACATCTTGGAATCAGGCAAAAGTTACGAAATATGAACGCCCATTCAACCACGAGTCCAACCATACCATTTTTACTAAAATCCGATATCAACTTGACCTCCAAATCTCAAATTCTCATTTTGAAATCCTTAGGCCCAAAACTTCTAATTTCATCTCAAAAACATATAATCTAGTCGGATTATTCGTTGATAATTCAATATTATGGAGTAGAAAGGCTCACAAGGGACTTACCTCAAAATTTTTCGTGATTTCTCGCTCAAAAATCGCCTCACCCGCTTTTGAAAATGTCAAAAATGACAAAATCTCGGACTTCTCTGTTTTTAACATTCTGTCCAGGAGTCTCACTCCTGCGGAATTTGAACCGCTTCTGCTGATTTTTTCCCTCGCTTCTACGAAATTTACGCTTCTGCGATCACCCACGCGGAGGTGCGTGTCCGCACTTGCGAGATGTCTTCCGCATCTGTGCTCTACAGTCACCAGCCCAGCCTCCGCTTCTGCGCATCTCGGCTCGCACCTGCAAGCTCGCTTGTGCGAGTTTCCTGTCCGCTTCTGCGAACCTTGCGCATATGTGAGGTCCATTGTGATTTGCGTGGTCACACCTGCGAGTCAAGTTCCGCAGATGCAATTACACCAGAAGGCTGAAATTTTAAATTTTTCTTCTAAGTCCGAATTTGATCCGTTAACCATCCGAAACTCACCCGAGCCCCTCAGGAGCTTAATCAAATACACCAACATATCCTAGAATATTATACGAACTTGCTCGTGCGATCAAATTTTTTAAATAACACCTAAAACTACGAATCGGACACCAAATCAAAGGAAATTTTTAAGAAAACTTTAAAACTTATATTTTCACAACCGGGCGTCCGAATCACGTCAAATCAACTCCGTTTCTCACCAAATTCGGCAGACAAGTCTTAAATATTATAGTGGACCTATACCGGACTCCGGAACCAAAATACGGACCCGGTGTCAATAAATTCAACATCAGTAAATTCTTAAAAATCCTTAAGCTTTCAAACTTTTAATTTTTCATCAAAATTCCATATCTTAGGCTAGGGACCTCGGAATTTGATTATAGGCATACGCCCAAGTCCCAAATCATGATACGGACCTACCGGAACTGTCAAAATACTTATCCGAGTCCGTTTGCTCAAAATATTGACCAAAGTCAACTCAGTTGAGTTTTAAAGCTCGAATTCACATTTTAATCTATTTTTCACATAAAAACTTTCCGAAAAATTTTATGGATTGTGCACCCAAGTCGAGTAATAATAAATAGTACTTTACGAGGTCTTAGAATACAGAATTCATTATTAAATTTAAAGATGACATTTTGGGTCATCACAATGCAGATCGAGGGGTAGAAAGAGTTGTTATTTTCCTTAGTAGATTGAAGGCTACTCAAACTTATTAAAATTTTTTGTCTTCTCTGTCTGATTAGTAATCTGTTGAAAATTTAGACCCCACAAATAAAAATTAAAGTTGATAAGATATGAAATATGAAGAAAAAGAAAATAGCAGGTAGATGACAATGTATTTAGAAGCCATTTTAATTAGTGAACTCGCAGGTTTATTCTTATTTTGTTCTTAATATCACATCCAGAGTGAAGGGTGATATTCCAGAAAACTTGTCATTATTTTAATAATATCATACTTCTTAATAATATAAATCGCTTTCATTATTTTCTTGGAAAGCTTCATATAGAAATAATTTTAGTGATGGTGCTTGCAGGTTGCGCTGGTTTGTTTTCTATGTGCGCGTAATGAGTAAAGTAAAAAGTGGCGATGAGTGAAGGAGGAAAAGAAAACTGGCAGTTAAACTAGTCAGTTTGATCTACAATCTACCATAGCACCTGAATATTTTCATCTGGATCTGCACCTTATCTCATATAAGGCAACAGTTGTAAGTTAGTTCAGGTGAAAACTTTTTTACTTATACTTCTTAATTATATTCTAATAAATGAAATGGTTGAATTAATTTATAAGTATTTCTCTAGTAGCCATGTTTCTATTTATTTTAAGAGTTTGTTTGTCCAGTACTTTAACGATTTTTATCCGCTAAGAGTGCTGATTTCTTTAAGTTTGCTAGGTGAATAAGTCGTCGTTCTGAAGGGAGAGCAAGATCCTTGAGAAATTATGTATGTGTGTGTGTATATATATATATATATATATATATATATATATGAGAAATTCAATGGGCATTAGATCGATTTTGAATATTGGTACAATGAAACTACTAAATCTCATGACGTAAAAACAATTTAGATTCAATTGCATAAAATTTCCTTTGGATTTGACTCTGTTCTAGTTCTTTTTATCAACTTTTATTTATTATCTGAAAAATTAGAAATCGGAAGGAATTTTGTAAAATATTTTTATTTCAACTGGTGATGGCATGCGAGCAATCTAACTTTATTGAACTTTTTCGTAGTATTCTAAAACTTTTATTGTGTGCTTCGCCCCTTTGTAATAATGTTAAATTTTTTGGGTTTGAATCTCCGGAATGAAAATCTTTTAGTAGTGAGCATTTTACTCCTTAAAACACCTTTGTAATAATATTAAATATTTTTGGTTTAGCTTGAGAATAAACATCTTTTGTAGCGAACATTTTACTCCTTAAATCTATGCCTACCTGGTGCGTGGACTATAATTAGTGCGACCAATTTTATAAGTAATCAAACGTTGTTGCGTTGCCTTTATTTTGAAGAAAAAGGTCGAGCATAGAGCAAATCAAATTGTGATCCCCCAGCCCCAAGGTATGAGGCCTTATTTGGAATATATTAAAAGTTTTACACTATACGCTGGCAGTAAAAGAAATTAAAATTCCAAAGTTTGTTTGTTTACATTTCTGACAAATATAAAGTGCGCAAATCTCCTTTTGCGGAGCCGCTTTCTATTGGTGAGTTATCTCGCGCATCCCCTTCTTCCGTTTCATTCCATTCCATTCCAATTTCCAATGACAAACCACAATCGGCGGTAATAGTGCATGTAGGAATTCATATTCTGTAGATTTTATTGTGATTACAAAGTGTTTGATAAATTGCCCGAAAGAGGTTGAACTCTTCAAGCAGTAGTTGTCTCTTTTGCTGATGAAGGTATCTGGGGTAAAGAAAACATATGAACTGAACTGGCAAAGTGGCACTCTTGTTGTCGTTCCATTTGCAATCTTTTTAATGGTAGCGCGTGCATAAACACACAAACATGTAATGATTTCTTCGTTAGTAGACTGTAAACATCTAACAATGGATTAATAAGTCTCATACATGACTTTAGGATGTTAATTAGAACTCATTTTCGCAATAAACATAAAAAGGAGGCTTTAATCAAGGAGACATAATTTTGATCCATCATGATTGTTGCTATAAGTTGATTCAACAGTGAAAATGAGTTTCTCTGCCTTGCACCTTTTCGTCAGTTATATATATTTTTTAAGGAAAGTAAGTAGTTCTTGGGTCAGAGAGAGGACCAGTTTCTGAAGACCTTTTATTTCTCACATTCCATTCCGTGAACAGTTATTTGACCATTATAATAGAAAATAATTCCTCTAGTTTTAGTACATATATATGCATGCATACGTGTATGTAGGTATTTATATTGTTTGATCATGAACTAACTTGGAGTTTATGCATTATATGTAAAGGTAATTCAAGATTCAAAATGAAGCTGAAGATAGTTTGGAGGAAAGTATCTGATTATGTTCGATATGATCTGAAGGAGATTGCTTTTCCTTCATCTTTACCGGACCCTCCCCACATCAAAAAACGTAGGAAACTAACTTTGAAGGAGCGCTATCTTGTGAGTGTTCTTTTTATTTTCTTTCTGGTGAAATCTTTTGATAATGAATTATGGTGATGCATTTACCAGTGATTATTGTTTGTTCTTGGTAATTTTGATTCAGGTGCTGAAGGAAGCGTCTAGGCTTTATGCTGCAAGCTGGGTGAGGGACATTGGTCCTGAACTTCGGCCCAATGATCACAAAAAGAAGAGTGAGATTGAAGACGAGTCGGATGAAGAAAATGGTAGCAGAAAGGAGAAGGAACCCTCAACAATAGAGGATCTAGGTAAACTACCTGACCAGTTATCTTTCATATATGATTGTTTTTCTTACATTTTTATACGCGGATGCTTTACCAGATATATGCTAGATCAATGGCAATACTTTTTACCCAAGTTATTGTAAAAGATATGTCCATGTATACATTCCAGGAATGCCCCTCTGCTTCTTTCTGGTACAAATGGTATCTCTATATGAATGATAGGAGTGATACTTTTCTCAAAATTAGATCATACAAGGAGAAAATTAGATCATATAAGGGAAAGTAGGTTCAGAGGAGATCTCTTGTCATACTTTTTTGATTGATGACCTTTTGATGTTAAAACTGGTTGGATGCTATATTGCTCGGACTCAGGTGTGGGCACCCGATACGGGTGCAAATCTAGAGGTTGAATTCTTTATCACGTAAATTTTAGTATTCGGGGATATGGATCCGAGTGCGGATACGGGTGCTGGGACACAGTCAATAGATGTGTAGCATGACGACTATAACTATGTATTACAATTAATTAAAGTTATTGAACTAAATCTAATAAAATTTAATCCTTATAAACACCTAATAGTTTATTCATAAGATATCTCGTGCAATAGCAAAGCGTTATCATACTTTATATGAATGACATAAACCCAAAATCAAATCAAACAATCTATACATATTGGTCATAGATGTCGTTAAAACCCTGAGGTATGTTGACCAAATCCGTTGTGGATCCAACACCCACACCCAAATCGTGATCTACATGGGTGCAATAGGATTTATGAAGGGTCTGAGCAACATAGGTTGGAAGTATTGAATTATCATTGTCTGACTCATATTGGTAAGTATTTGTAAAATGGAGGATTGAAGCTTTTTGGTAAATTAGATCGTGGGGAAAGTAACTAGAAGATTTCTTGCATACTTTTTGATGCTCTGATGACCTTTTGATGTTCAAGCACCTAATGGTGACTTGATGCAACCATAATTTTGTCAGGTTTCGACAATTTTCTAAGAGTCCGTTTCATCCATTTAGTTCTGTTGTTTCATTTTCTCTTTGATTACCTCTTTCCTTATCAAATATTGGTCTCGTAATTCTAATTAATAATGATAGTACAGTTGCATGTTAACATTATAATCTAATTTCCAGTTGATTTTTAACATTATAGGAGTATCTATTTTTGTTAATTATTTGTGGCATTTCTCACTACTTTATCATCTATCCATCTTAAAATTCTCAATTACCCATGCTTGTTTTATGGAAAGTATTTGTTTTTACTGTTTGACATTCTCTACTTTTTTGGCCGTAAGCCACCTGGCAAGTATAACATGCTGCAAGATGCTGGATATCTTATTTTCACAAAACTTTGCGATAATTTATTGCTCTCCATCTAAATTTTTTAACTGCATAGCGATTGCCTAACACTTTCAATTATATCGTTGTATATTTCTTGTGGTCTCTTCAATTAGTAGATAAGTCCTTTCAGTCGTGTCGAAATCATTTCTAAATTGAGTTATGAAACCTTTGCTCTTTTTTTCCTAGCTGTGGCTGCACGAGGTGGAATGGAGACACTACGACCAGCATTGCAACGAGTTTACATGACAAGAGCTTCTGCATATAAAGATGCACTTAAAAGTTTCATACAAGGATATCAAGAAGGTATTCAACAAACCATGGAGAAAAATAAAGACTCGAAGTCTTCCAAAGACACTGATGCATCCAATTCCATAGGACCAACTTGAGTTCTAATGGACAATTCGTGAGTTATCTTTTGCAATACCGCTGCAAGAACTTGTATTATGTCTTCCCTTGTTTGCGACAATCATGTTAATAAGTATCACCAATTCTCTTTTTGTACATAACTATAATGGTTTCAATAGAAGGGATGATATTAAATGATAATACTCGGGTATGCTACCAGTTTCTGGGCACTACTTTATTTTGCTATATTCATTGTACTGTTGTTGGAAGTTAGTTTGGCAACGTTCTGACTGTCTCATGCCTGAAATTTCTTAGGTATTAGCTGGTGGCTATATGTAGATGCATTGCTTATTCTAACAGTCTTGTTGATGTATTACTTGAAACCATAAGGGAACACCACCTCTATGCTTGACAGCATTGTTTATGTTTAAATTCATTGAGGGTGTATGGTTCGGAATTCAACAGGGAAGATGTTAACCTATGAAATCAACTAGAAATTTGAGAATTGGATCAAGTAGATAACCCTAATCGCCTAAGTCGGTGAGAGAGAAGAACTCAGAGTCGATAGGGTAAATAGAAATTGATCCATTATTTAAAAATAGAGTCAACTAGCTCTATTTATATGTACAAATGAATGTGGCTAGAATTGAAAATATCCGGACAAGGGCCGGTTCCCTGAAGTGTAAAAATGAAAGATGGCCCAATAAGAAAAGGCCCAACATTTAGTAAGCTCAACCAGGATCTGGGCTTGACATTAAGGGTCTATCACCCTCCCCCCCCCCCCCC